GACATCGACACTCTGCCAGGCTATGCTGTCAAGATTTGTACCTCTCAGCTCTATCGCATAGGGAAAGGACAAAACCCATCTGGCCTACTGGCCATTTGTCGCTCACCCAAATGCATCCGCGCCCTAGCTGGAGGAAATGACCAAATTCAACGCTTGTGCAACCTCGCGGGCATCGCCAAGGGCAAAGACAATGCAACGGCTATGAACTCCAGCGCCGCATCCATATGCTATGTTGCCTCCACTCATTCGGTTTTCCCGGGCTTGATCACACACCAGGCAGCGGAGACAAATCCACCCACGGAACCTCCAGATGATCATGCACGTCCAGTACGACCTGACCCTCCTGCCGACGCACCAGCACCTTCGGACCCACCTCCAGACGACTCTCGAGACACAACTGGCCACCACGAGACCACCGCGTCTGGCTCTCGAGATCATGCTCGCCGATCTTGGCACGACAATGCTTCTTGGGACAACTCAACCTACAGTCGTCGAGATCGCCGATCTTCCCATCACGAAGGCCATTCTCGAGACCAGCACCGTGAAGGCCAACCTCGTTCTCGTCACTCGACATACCACTCCAGATCTCGCTGGTGAACTCTTTACCTCTGAGGAGTACCGGAACAAGTATCGACTATTCTACGACAGCGATACAGTGAGCCTAGTGGCCCTGCCCGATCTTTTTGGAGTAACAATGCTTCTCCCGACATTCGGTATTGATGCCACTTCTTCCCTCAAAAGGTTTGTGAACTGCTGCATGCTCATGATATTTGAACCTTGTGCCAGCTTCGTATTTCACTTTACGTTTCACACACAGGGACCACGTATCATGTTTCACACCGTTTCAATCGCACACCATCCTCGTCTCACCTTGACACCTCACCGCAGCTTTCAGTCGGCAGTTCGAGCTTATTTTGACCTATTATCTCGTGACCCCGTCTACATCATGGCGTCCCAGGACCTGATTTCCCAGTTCAGCTCTGACGGGAACGGAATTCCTCCTTCCCAGCCGGATCGCTCTCGCACACCTCCTCGTCATCAACATGGATGGCACCAAGCAGTACCTGTGTTCCGTGGCCCGATGCACTATGCAATGACGACCCATCGACCTTTTTGGAACCCGTCCGGGATACCGCCTCCGCCACCTACATCTCCATCGTTCCCAACACGCCCACCATGGACTCCATCTACGGCACCTTTCCCACCTTGGATGACCGTAGGTACTTATAATTAGTTATCCCACTTAGTAAGTGTTTAGCCTACTTATAACCTGGTTATAACCATGGTTATCCCACTTACGTAACCATGGTTATTAACTAGGTTATCCCACTTACATAATCATGATTAGCCCACTTATAACCTAGTTACCTAACTAGGATAACCATGACTAACTAGAATTTGGGGGTATAGGAAAACAAAATCGAACCATCTGTTTTTTGGATGGAACATGGTTTTTGTAAGAAAAATTGCGAGCCACAGAGGCCCTGCAAGCAAACTGCGAGCTTTGAAAATAAAGCCCTGCATGGATGCATGGGATCAATCGATCCAAACACGCATGGCTATAGATGCTGCCATTGCATGTTTCAAATATGCCTGGAATGCAAAAAAATGTTGGCATTGCTTATGCGTATGGCTCGCCTTGAGGAGAACTGCAGGGCCACCCACGGCTCGCTGAGCCATTGCCCAAAACCGCGGAACCTGCCATCAACCCAATTCCGAACCTCTTCTTGGCGCATTCCTGGCAAAATGATTTGGCTGATCACAGGTGATGCAATGCAGGTCTGCGAAGTCATGACTTTCATGGCCATTGCAGTTCATGTGAAGCTGATGCAGGGGACTGGGCCAACATTTTCAGGGGATCACGCTCGAACTCTTCGCAGAAGATGAAAGCCTTATTTCACTGAAACAAGCAAACTTTTTGTAAAAGCCAAACATTTGGCTACAAACAAAAAGAGGTTGCACTGACATGAAACTTCATCACCTGAAACTGTTTCCCTCAAGTAACTTGGAAGTTTTGACTGTTCTGAACAACGAGGATACTCAATTCCTTTTCCTGCATTGAAATTTCAGAAGTTGTTTAAACAACCCAACAAAACCTCAATGCTCTTTCACTTTCACAGGATGTCCTCTTGTTTAAAACAAACAAATCCTGTTCGTTGCGTTCACTTGCATTGAACATGTCACATGCCAAGTATCCATTCTCCGCAACATCCCGTTTCAAGGTGTGGGAGGGTTGGGTTTCCTCAAACAATTTTTATGAGGAATCGAAAATTGCATCGGGGTCTTTTTTGTTCCACTTCATTTGTTTTATTTTCAGTGGTTCATTTACCCTGACCTTCAATGTCTTTTGTTGGCCAAACTTGCACACCAATCCGCGGTGCCGCGTAGCTGCTGCCTTGCCGTATGGTGTGATGGCCTTCAGCTTGGAGTTATTTTGAACTCCACTTTCACTGTGATTTTCGTACAGCAGTATGAGCAAATTTGAACTTCAGTTTGCAAAGGCTTGGAGTGAACTACCAGTTGCATGTCCTGTCGTCTTGCCCTGGGAAACCAGTTGTTGGAAACAGATTGTAGGCCGTAAGAGCTTGGTTGAGACAAAGTCTACAAGTTTCAAACGACCGTTACCACCACCTGTTTTCCATGTTAGTTATCCTGTGGAGCAGTTGGAGCCTTCGAAACGGCAAAAGCCTCAGAGTGGCAATGCAACTTCTTGGCAACAAATTGTGAAGTCAAGCATTGAAGAATCCTGGACAGAAATGAGGGATGCGCAGTTCCAGACAGCGCTTAAAAGGTGGCTTGACGTCATCATGCAGTTGCCTGACACCTGTTTAGTTGTCGTACAGTTGAAGCAGTTGAAAGATGTTTCTTGCAAACTGAGAATGATGAGAGATCTATTTGTGAAGAAAGCACCTCAGACCCTTCTCAAACGATGTCATTCTTTCCTACGTTTTGTGCAGTATTTGAAAGATGCTGGAGAGAATTTCCCTGGCACAGAGAATGGACTCTATGCGTTCCTCTGCAACTTGCGTGAGTCGGGAGCCCCCACTTCAAACATGCAAAGCATCATGCAGTCATTGAACTTTGCACAGCATGTCATTGGATTGCCAGAATTGATGCCCTTAACGCTGTCCAAACGATGTCTTGGTTCAGTTGGAAAGCGGAATGAAAGACCAAAGCGGCAGGCTTCTCCTTTCAAGTTGGTCGAGATCTTATCGCTGCATGAGGTGTTGCATGACAGTTCAGAAGAGCTTTGGACAAGAGTTTTTGTTGGCACAGTGCTCATGGCTATTTACAGTCGAAGTCGCTGGACTGACATGCAGCATGCGGAAAACCTGGAATTGGACGTTGACATGTTTGGTGATGTCGCTTTTGCTGAACTTAGAATCACCAACCGCAAATGTCAAGAGTCAACTGCTTTCAGAAACATCTTCTTGTGCGCCGTTGCACCTGGGTTGGGTGCCAGTGAACAGCCTTGGATAGCTGAGTGGGTGAACGTCAGAAACTTGCTCGGCATCAACTTCAGTGCCGGGCATCCAACTCTGCCGGCGCCTGACTCAGAGGGATCCCCAACTAAGAGACCGTTGGGTACAGATGAAATGAAGAGATGGGTGCGCCTAGTCTTGGAAAGCAAAGGGCATAGCCTAGTGGACAGACGTTTGACGTCGCACAGTTGCAAGTGCACCGTCCTGAGTTGGCTTGCGAAACATGGAGACGAATGGACAGACCGCATGGCTTTGGGTGGTCACGTTTCTTTCATGAAGTCCACAGTCATCTACAGCAGGGATGCGATGGCCCGTCCCCTCCGCGTCCTGGAGGCCTTGCTTTCAGAAATCAGAATGGGACACTTCTTGCCAGATGAGACAAGAAGTGGAAGGTTCAAAAGAACTTCACAGCCTGGTTTTGGCGACTTGCACAACAGTGAGCTGAACTACTCAGGTGAGATCAATCCACTTGAGGCGACAGTGGAGTGCCCATCGTTTTCTGATGGATCACTTCAGACCACCTCGCGCAAACCAACGGTGGGGCATTTGGCACCGGCAACTGCCTGTGCGGATGTGATAGAGATTGCAAGCAGTGATGACGGTGAGGTCAAATGTGAGCAATCAGACACGTCGGATGGTTCAGACGCCCTGACAACCTCTTCGAGCGAGGATGAGGCTGGGGCAAGTTACACTGGAGCTGCAAGACCAATGAGGCTCCCAACAGTGCCAGACAGCTTGAAGCTTGTGCAGCACGTCAAGTACAAAACCTTGCACTTGATGGAGGCCCAGAACTTCAGAATCATGCTTTGCGGACGTACTGCAATCGAAGGACGGTACGAGACGGCTACAGCAGCTCGTTTTGACACTCCATGCTGCCACACGTGCTGGAGGCACAAGGCCGAGTACGAGTGCTAGGAAAGAAAAAACAGGTGCGTTTGTTTTGCTTGACTTGCCAGCTGTCAATCATTCAGTCACGGCACATTGCAGTGATTTCAGAATTCAATTTCCATCTTGTGCACTCTCAGGACATATGCAAATGGAAATCAGGGGAAAACATGGCTAGCCATCCTCTTTCACATTTGCGCGTCACATGTGCTTTTGTTGCACTTCAATTTATTCAACCTTCAGTTGAACTTCGATGGTCATTGAGTAACTTGTGCTGAATGTCAATCATCCTCTTTAAATTTGAGGAACCTCATGACAAGGTCTCGACCGTTGGAACAATCTGTGTTTCAATGGCGTCAGAGATCAAGTGTCATTTTGACTGAAACAGCTTGGTCAACGTGTAAGACAGTCAAAGCATTTAATATTTAATGCTTATGTCAACACTTAGGCACCTTCTTGCATTGATTGTATGTCATCAATGTTGTATTCGAAAATATAAGGTTGACAGAGTTGGCACCAAGACCTCATCACATATCAGAAAAGGTAATGATTTAGAACCTGCGGTTGGTTCCACCAAGCATACAACATACAATTGCCCTTCAGTGAACCATGGCCCTTGTCGATTCAACTGCCTCATTTGAGAAGCGGTGCAACGAGCTCCAAGAGACCTTGCATGGCGTTTTTCAGGATGCTGGCATCACAACGTTCTCTGCTTTAGCGTTTGCAGTTGGCACACCACAGAGTGCACCTTCAGATGATGACATGCAGAGGTTTGCAGATCGCCTCATGGGCGGCCCAGCTTCGCTAGCAGAGCTCTCACTAGTGAAGGGTTTGCATTTCGAATCAGTGACGCTGGTCATGGTTGACATTCAGAAGCAATCAGCTTCACAAGACTTGTCGGAACCTGGGCGCAGCCTTCCCTTTGTTGAAAAACAGAGACGCTTGATGGTGCAGCAAGAGCGCATAACAGGAATAAGTCACAAGCACGAGCAACAAGCAGCTCATGCATTGATAGACGCTTGCTTTCAGATGGTAGAAAGCGGATCGCTGACTTACATTGCTCCATCCAAATGTGGGTCAAGAGACCAAGAAATCCAGCAGGATGCCAAAGCCAAACAAAAGCAGCTTGTGACGATCGAACAGGGAGCATTGAAGACTATTGCCTCCCCTACTTTGCCTACAGTAGACATTGGGATTGGCGTTTGACGTCGTTTCTCTGATGTCTTGGGAAACCCATTCGGAGTGGGTCAACAAACTCTTCAGGGCCCTTATGTCAGATGCCATCCCGAACTTCAGCCCCATCTCCTTGGACCAACTCCTGCGTGCAGACCAAGAATTATTTCTTTTGCTTGCAGCGGAATACACAGGGTCTTTGAAGCCTGGAGCTCCTGATGCAGATCCTCCACTTGACCAAGAGGTCAGACGTTTGATGAATGATCCCCGGATCAATGTGCACCTGACTCCAATTCAGAAGATTGAAAAACGGTCGGGAAATCCGCCTCCCAACCAAAGCAATGCACCGACAAGGAACAATAGCAACAAGCGACAAAGGACTGAGGGTCCAAAAACTCCCAGCCAGGTGCCAACAGAACTGCAGGGCCTTCACTTGAAGACCAAAGAAGGTAAGCCAATCTGTTGGCATCGAAACTTGAAACGAGGGTGCAAGAATGCCACAAAGAATGGGAGATGCAGGTTCGGATTCCATACCTGCATGCGTTGTCTCAAACCAGGTCACGGGGCTGCTGAGTGTCATGCTGAAAAAGCCTCATGACTAAACAAAAGAGATAGGAGCAGAAGTCCAAGACAACAAGAGGTTAAGCCACTTGTCAGGTCCAACTCAACTCAGTGTACAGATTTGCATTTTTCTTCAGACTCCTCACCAAAAGCGGGGAGCAGCCAAACAATAGAGGGTTCTTTCACTGAATTTGTCAGCGAAGAGACTGTAGATCAGACAAAAGGACGCCTCAAGTCTTCAACTGAGTTTGTTGGTGAAGACAATTCAATTAGCTCTAAACAGTCCTGCCTCATTTTGGAAATTTTTGCTGGAAGCTGTAGGCTCTCAAAAGCATGCAAACAAGCTGGTTTTCGAGTAACTGCAGTTGACAAAATTGAAGACAGGGCCGAAAATTTTCCTATTTATCAATGTGATGTCACCAATTCAGCAGAAAGAACACTACTGCTGCAATACATTGAAGCTGAAAAAGAGGAATTGCTACACATCCATTTCGCTCCTAGCTGCGGCACTGCCTCCCGCGCCAGAGAGAAGGCCCCAGGGCCTCCCCCGTTGAGATCTGATGTCCATCCGGACGGATTACCAAATTTGAGAGACAGTGACAAACAACGGGTGGAAGCTGCAAACGAAAGCTATCGTGCAATGATCACCATAGCAATGTTTGCCATCTCGCTTGGGATTAGCATCAGCGTGGAAAATCCCAAAAATTCACTGTTTTGGAAATGCTCATTTGTTTTACTCTTTTTGGAATGGCTGCCGCAATATCATATTTGTGAGTTCCAACATTGTATGCATGGTGGACGTCGCAACAAGTTCACTCACTGGATGAGCTGCAACCCTCGCGATTTAACAGTTGACATGTTTCAGTCGTTGCACCTCCTTTGCGATCAAAAGCATCAGCATGCGAGTTGGGCACCTTACATTGATCAAAGTGGTAGACAAGTTTTTCCGACCGCAAGTGAAGCAGCCTACCCAGAGCTACTGTGCACACGAGTGGCATGCATCCTCAAAGCAGAAGCTTTGAAAGCTGGGTTCGCTTTCCCAACCACTTTAGCTGACCAATTGGAAGCTGAACCGCACGCTGCAAAGAGACAGATTTTTACCACCCAACCTCGAGGGAAGAGATTGCGGCCACTGGTTTCTGAATTTCAAGCGTACAAATCAATTCTTTTTCCACTGAACGCGGAGCCACACATACAACAGTTTTTACAAACGTTGCCAAAAGGTTCAAGGATTTGTCATCGTACTCTCACTGAAGGGGTTTTTTTCTGGGATGACAATCTGGCCAAAGAAGCCGAACTAGTTGCACACCACAGTTGGGAAGATGGGCAACCAGGAGAAATTTTGCATTTTGGAATTCCAAAGGAACCTCATGATTTCATTGCTGATGCCACAGCTAAAGGCCACCCCAGAGACATCATTGCGAAAGTGCCACCCAATATCAAAGCGCTGTTGAAAGAGCTGGCGAGTGGAGACACGAGCAGGCGTTTTGCCAAAAGAGCGACCTTCATGAAGCGTTGGCTTAAAAGATCTCTGGAACTCAAGGACAAGGAGTATGAACTCCATCAACAGCTACCAAAACACCTGCAAAAGATTCTTCATGGGAAACGCTTGCTTTTATTCAAAGAAATTTTGACGGACCTGAACTACAGTGATGTTGCTGTAGTAGATGACATTATTTCTGGTTTTCAACTCACTGGATGGGCACCAAAAACTGGTGTTTTTGACCAAGATGTCAGACGGCCTCAGCTTACAATTGATCAACTGCAGAAAATGGCCCCTGGTATCAACGCCAGCATCTTACGTGCCGTTGACGACATGCAGGTTGACCAGACCACTGAGCACGTTTGGAAAGAAACATGGTTGGAGGTAGAGAAAGGGTGGTTAAGCCCTGCCACAACGTCCACGGGTTGCTCGGTTGCCAAACGTTTTGGATTACAACAGGGCTCAAAGATACGAATGATCGACGATTTCAGCATCAGCAAGGTCAACCACACGTACGGGTTGAGAGAAAGGTTGAGAGTGCAAGCAGTGGATGAGTTGTGTGCATACCTAGCGGTGATGATGGATGAAACAGAAGCAGCTGCCATGCCCAAGATCAAAGGGCGTACTTTCGATTTGAAATCCGCTTACAAACAATATGGAGTAGATGCATGGCACAGTGACTTCTTACAAATTTGTGTTCGAAACCCTGAGGGTGGACACGGCTTGTTCAATGTGCATGCGCTCCCTTTCGGCGCAACTGGGAGCGTCACTGGCTTCCTGCGAATCTCCAACGCACTAGCCTACATAGGCCACCACGGCTTGGATTTGATTTGGTCAGCCTTTTTTGACGATTATACTGTCATTTGTGATGCTGAAGAAGACTGCAACGTCACCTTCTACGTGGAGTCCTTATTCAGACTGCTGGGTGTAGCCTTTGCTTCCGAAGGTGACAAAGCCCCGCCTTTCCAGGCGAAGTTCAAATCGCTTGGTCTCGAATTTGATTTAGAGACATTGTCACAGGGCATTTTCCTGCTTCAGCACACAGCCAGCAGACGTCAAGAGTTGGTGAACACGGTCACCTCGATGCTGGAACGGCCGGGAGTTTCCCCCAAAGAGCTTGAGCGCCTGCACGGGCGACTAGTCTGGTTCAGTTCATTTGTTTTTGGAAGATTGATGAATCAGGCCGTCAAATCCATTTCAACGGCATGCAGATCAACTGAAAAGAGCGTTGTTTTAAACAGCGTGCTAAGAGAAGCCCTAGTGAGTGTGCGCGACTTGGTGCTTCACAGCAAGCCTCTGGAGATCAGCCGGTCGATCTGCAAGACCTGGACAATATTCACTGATGGCGCCTTTGAGCCTGGCGCAGATCACCCAGCGACTGTGGGTGGTGTTCTCATCAGCCCGAGTGGTGTGGCTCTGCAATGCTTTGGCGAATATCTGAACGAAACCCTGGTGGGTGAACTGCTCAACGAGTCCAAACACCCGATATATGAACTCGAGGTACTGCCACTATTACTTGCTACACAAGCCTGGAGTCACTTCATATCCGGATCACCAATGGTTTATTTTTTGGATAACGATGCAGCACGATCGGCATACATCCAAGGTGTTGGAGCTACCAATTTTGCCAGAAGCTTCACCCAAAAATTTGTACACCTTGAAAGTGCCCTGAAAATTCTTCCTTGGTTCGGGAGAGTGCCAAGCCACAGCAACATATCGGATGGCCCGTCGCGACTTGACTTTAGCAATCACCTCTTAAAACATTGCACTCGCATTCGACTCCATTTTCCAGCACACTTCAATCAAATGGGGTTGGCATCGGGTGTACTGGAGAAATCAAACTGAAACATCAGTTCTCCGGCGAACAATCCTGAGCCCGTTCCCCAGAGCTTCATGAAAAAGGAGTGCACCAGCTGGATTCATCGGATGTCAGTTTGAGTTGCTTGTGTTTTTTGATTTGCTGTCTTTTCACGTGCGACGACGTAACCCGAACATAGCGCGGCGTGTTATATATATACATATATAATACTATGCCCCTTTTCATATTTGTTTTATATGTTTTTGTTTACAACAGATTATGTCAGAACTATTCAACAGAAACACTCTGTGTGCCTCACTGGCGGTGCAACCGTTTTGTAGAAGAAGGGAAATAAGCTCGAACTCTTCGCAGAAGATGAAAGCCTTATTTCACTGAAACAAGCAAACTTTTTGTAAAAGCCAAACATTTGGCTACAAACAAAAAGAGGTTGCACTGACATGAAACTTCATCACCTGAAACTGTTTCCCTCAAGTAACTTGGAAGTTTTGACTGTTCTGAACAACGAGGATACTCAATTCCTTTTCCTGCATTGAAATTTCAGAAGTTGTTTAAACAACCCAACAAAACCTCAATGCTCTTTCACTTTCACAGGATGTCCTCTTGTTTAAAACAAACAAATCCTGTTCGTTGCGTTCACTTGCATTGAACATGTCACATGCCAAGTATCCATTCTCCGCAACATCCCGTTTCAAGGTGTGGGAGGGTTGGGTTTCCTCAAACAATTTTTATGAGGAATCGAAAATTCCCGCCCATTACTGTTTTTCCCACCCTTTTCCTTTCTCACCCTCACGTTTCACTTCTTTCTTGGCCTTGTACTGGAGAAATCAAACTGAAACATCAGTTCTCCGGCGAACAATCCTGAGACCGTTCCCCAGAGCTTCATGAAAAAGTAGTGCACCAGCTGGATTCATCGGATGTCAGTTTGAGTTGCTTGTGTTTTTTGATTTGCTGTCTTTTCACGTGCGACGACGTAACCCGAACATAGCGCGGCGTGTTATATATACATATATAATACTATGCCCCTTTTCATATTTGTTTTATATGTTTTTGTTTACAACAGATTATGTCAGAACTATTCAACAGAAACACTCTGTGTGCCTCACTGGCGGTGCAACCGTTTTGTAGAAGAAGGGAAATAAGGTTGCCACACCTGAATTCACGCAAAAAGGAAGTGCTCTTTGCAGGCTTCCAGTAGGAACTAATTCTGGCACATCAGTCATTCGAAAAAGATTGTGGCCTTGCAGAGGCGTCCACTTAGAAATGATTGAGTGAAACGATGTGCCATGAATGTCTGACACAACTTGCACGTGAAACCAAATCTCAACGATATGTGTGGATGTGCAAACTGCATCTCCACGGCTCATGCTTTCATAGTTGCATTGAGCTTCTGAAGCTACAAAGACTCTTACGGATGGGTCCAGGGTCAGCCCAAGGGTTTGTTTCAGCCCATTGGTCATGTCAACTGACGCCTCCTTTGCATCAATGAGTTCAATGCCGCCTCTGCGTTCCCATTCCTGCAGCTCCAAGTATTGGGACAACACGACCTCATGGATGACGCCATGTTCCCATGACATTTTTTTGTTTGCATTTGTACTGTTGTTGCCGTGTCGCTTGAGGGCACGGTGCTTCCTTTCGTGCGCCCAGCACGATGCCAGCGTGCCATCTCTGGCCAGAATCTTGGGTAAGTGCAAACTATAATGTGTTTTCGGCTGCATGCTCTTGGCCTTATAGGCATCCAAACGGGCGGTCATGTGAGCTTCGATAGATTGCTGGAGTTCCTGGGAAAGCAGCTGGAATGTTGCTGTGCGATGACAATCTTGGGAAACATGAAAACAGTGGGTTCAAATATATAAAATATAATCCTGGGAAACAAGAAAGCACTGGGTCCAAAAAAATATATATATATATGCAATTTGTCAATGAAAGCTGTCAAGGTTCATCCGGTGACACTGCCCCTTTCCGGGTCTTCACCAGAAGGTCCAAAACTGCAGCTAAACAATAGTAGCTCCTGACCGCCTTAAATGCTGCTGACTCTGCTATAGACTGCGGCACTTTGGTTTGCAAGAAGCATCGCACTGAAGGATACAGAGACAACCCTTCAGAAGCTGAGCAGGACAAGTGTCCCTCCTTGTGCTTCTCGACTACTTTGATACCAGTGGTGCCTTTGGAGGAAACTTTCTTGGGCCACGTGACAGTTTTGAGGAAATTGGCTAAAGCTGGAGCTCCCATCCCATGCTCTTTGTTGAGCACATCAAGCAACAAGGAAACTTCAGAGTTCCATAATCCTGAAACCAAATAGATGTGCATCCAATCGTAGGATGTCATGGAGACAGCACCGGGAATGGAATTCATAAAGTTCTCATCATAAAGTGCCCCTTCAGCCGAGAACGTCAATCCCAGTGCCTTTTCTAAATCTTCAAAAGCTCCCTTGCCCAGCCTGCCCTTCTACAAAACCAATTTCTTTGCAGCTTGGTTGATAGATTGGTCTGTGTGCTGTGCACACATGTTCAAAGAACAAACATACAGTGGCACAAGTCTGCCGGTCCTTTGTTGCTCCAACACTGTTTCAATGCCGCTTCGTCGCCCAAAAGGACCTGGACCTTGAAGAACACATGAGAGCAAGATCCACCCAATGGCAAATGAATGCCAAGTCTTCCATCCAAAGGTTGAGATTGAAAGAGTTTGCATATGTGTTTCCAAATTTGTGAGTATTGCCCCAGCACCTTCTTCACATGGACGGTTCTGCAACAGGTCAATTGGAACCATAGTTCCTCCCGCCCCAACTGCCCTTTGAAGTCTAAGATACTCCAGTACCAAGCCACCATCTTCCTCATGTTTGTAGCCTTTAACTGGTCGCCTGGTAAGATTTCGTCGCAGTAACAAATTATTTTGAACGGAGCTGCTGCGCTGTTGCCCACAGACTCTAGCACACTTTCAAAATATTCGCGAAATGGCCTGCAATTTTCCAAAGTGACATAGAGCAAGGCATAGGGATTGCAAACAGGAAGCTGCAGCAGGCTGTTGCCTTCACAGAGTAGTTGAATGCTGGCCATAACGGGCCCACAGGCGTCTCCTGTGGAATCGCGTCTGCCCGTCTCCTTTTGAGGGTCGGGCGGCTTATGGCATCTGGCAGACCATGCTTGCGGACGGCCTTGAGGACCGCCACCAGGCCGCTCTGCGACACAAAGGAGTGGCCAGCAGCAGCCACATAGACATTCATGCCGGAACTTGTTGAAGTCATGGCGCGAGTCAACTGATGACCCTGCAATGGTGAGACACGAGCGCGAATTTGGCCCTGTGTTCTTTCTTCTTCAGGCTGCGTGCAGTATGATATTTATGGTTTGGCCACGCTATAAAGAATATAGCAGCAGCGCACTGTTGAATCGCAACTGTGCAACATATGTTCTCATCTCATGGGCATGCACATTACATCCGTTTTCAATCTCAACACTGGAGCCACTGGAGTGGCAAAAAAAAGAAACAAAAACTATTTGCACTGTCAGAGCATCGAATGTTATTTGCCTCCAGAACATACTCGCATGTATCTTGAATGCAGGATACTTGTGATCATCAAAGAAATGAAGTGGTGTGATCACATCAGGAATTTGCCAGACATCCTCCAGGCCTGGCAGGGCAAACGCCTCGATCACCTGAGGCCAAAACCTTGGTGATTGCAGGGCCAGACACGAAAATTGAAATGTTCTGGTTAATCACAATTGTTGATCTGGACCTGGTGCTGAAAAACCTTTTTGTTTCAGCGATGCATGGCACAAATTGCCACGGCCGAGTTCACTGAACATAAAAATTGGAGAATCTTCTGCGAGGAAGGCATGTGGCGCAGGTTGCCACTGCTCACACTTTGACCGCGACGAAAGAACCACAAAGAATTACAACAGTTTAAAACAACACAAATTATACTTACACATACATGGGGGCTATGAACTAATCAGCATTGGGAATGTCATCATATGAGTCATCAATCAGTGTGAGGGCTCTTTGCCACTCAGCCTCGCAATTGTCTTCATCTTTGATTTTCACTTTTTTGTCACACCTATCACCAGCGCTCAAAAAAACTCGAAAAGCTCCTGAGTTGCGGTGAATCTTGCCCTTTCTGTACCAAGTCGTGCCTGCCTTGGGCGCTGGGACTGGCGGTCGGTTTGCCTCTGTGAAAACCATTTTCTCAGCAGCGGCTTTGGCCTTTGCACTGGGTTTGGCTTTCGCCTTGGGGGATGGGGCCACAGCATCATCGCCATCACTCGCCTTTCTCTTGGACGAAGCTGCAGCTCCCTGTGCCATACTCTTGGCAGACCCTTTTGCCGGACTCTTGGCTGCTCCTTTTGCCTTACTCTTGGCTTTTGCCTTGCCTTTGCATGTTGCTTTTGCCTTTGCAGAAGTATGTTTCTCTGGTTCTGTTTCCTTGGCTTCTGCTCTTGTCACCTGTCTTCCCTGTGTGGCTGCTTGGACAGCGGCAACCTGCTCTTCTGGTGGCACCAGTTTCGCAACATCTGGCAAGGCAAGCTGCAGCTCTTGACCTTGTGAATCTTCTTGTGACTCACCATGCGGTGTCACAGCAGCAGGCGGTGAAGATGCACTTGACGGAGCAGTGGGTGAACGGCTTGGAGTTACCTGATTCAACTCGGTCTTGTTGCCTGCGAAGATCTTCAGGCCTGCAGGACCGGTATCCTGCTGTGCCTGCTGCTGGTTCTGGCCAAAGAGGCACATTGCCATCATTTGCATCATGTTCATCAGGGGTTGGTAAATGTCCCATTTTGGGTATATTGGACATCACCTTATAATAGCCATTATAGACCATATACCTAATGGTTGGGTGATGTTCAATGGGGACATTTAATGACCCATGTTCATGGCCATCGCATCCATGCCCGTAAAACCCATAGCTTGTTGAGCCATAGCTTGTTGCATGGCAGAAGCTACACCGCCTGATGGCATGGTAGGCGACAGCGTGGCAGGCGCAGGCATGGGAACCAAAGCTGCTCCTGCAGGTTTGGTCTTGCTGGAGCTTTTCCTCAAGCAACCCAAAGTCCCAACGCTACGGGTGGCCCTTTGCAGGGGAGGATCGTCAGCATCATAGCACTCTTGAATCATGGCCTCAGAAGGCAGGTCTGGGTAGATCACAATGTGAGCTCGTTTGCTGACATCCGGCTTGGCTTTCCTTGCTTTCGATTTGAAGAGAGACTTCAACTGGTCGAGCAACTGCAAATTCTCTTTGTGCGTGCCCAGCTCCAAGCCCAGGTCACCACACACCCTCAGTGGTGCAAAAAGGACATGGATATGCAGGGCCAGAAAAAAAATAAGGCTCGCAGGATGCATGAAAAGAGCAGGGTCAGAAGGTGGCTCGCTCTACGTCCAGCTGGTTAACTGGCACTAAAAACATGCATGGTTTTGCAGCCAAGCAACTTGAGGATATGGCCCACGCTGACTTCGGTCGGCACATCGATCCCCAACCGGATCATGCGGACAGCCACTGCGTCCAGCTTGGTGTATGTGCTCACCTGCTTGTTTTGAAGGGTATCAGCATCCTTCTGCGTCAGGTACGCTGCGAAGTTCGTAATGGTTTGTTTGTTCCTCTTTTCTGTCGTGGCCGGTGCTGTTCCCTGCAGCACTTTGGCACTGATCGCAAGGACCAGTGGGCTTACCTTTGCCAGCCCGCTCAACTTCTCCTTGACATTGTCGATAAGCTCTGCTGCGTCACCTGCAGAAAGAGCCGGTAGCATCTGGCACTTTCTTAGAAGCGCCTGGCATTGCTGATCTAGGACCTGCGAGAAGCAGTCGAGGTCCTTCTGTGCTTGGAGGAACTTCGCTGTCTCATCGAGTGAGTTGATTAGCAACTCAACAGCGGTCATTTTCCAAGCACGACTGTCGGCACTTGAGCCTGATCTGCAAACATGAGCTTGCATGATGCAAGTCTTGCAGCATGTTTTGTGCGAGTTGTTAGGAACAACCCTGCCCTTTGCACTGGTGCAGTTCTCCGAGCTACACGTGCTGACCGATATCGAGCTACACTACATATGTAAAGTAGCCCTGATTGTGAACTAGGTCTGAGAGTGCAACTAAATGGATGCACACCGGTACCACTGACAAAGCAATCACAGCAGTGTGGCCATCAAATTCTGTCTGACTCATTGTCAATGCATTGATTGCTCAACTGCAAGTGGGGGAGTTTCACGTGTGCTATTGCAGAAGGGCTCCCACAGAAAGCAAGCAAAGACACAGGTGAATGCACAGTCCCAATTTGCTGAGTTTCTGAAACAAAGTTGATGCCACAATTGGCATGCCAATTGCAGTTTAGGATACTGGAGACTGGAGACGCATGACAACTTCAAAAAGAATCTTTTTTTTCGACAGGCGCATTTCAGGTCTTGAGCAACAATCTGTGCTTGAAATTTCGACATTGCGTCGGCACTGCTTCTACTTACATACCAGACCGAAGACAATGCCAACAATCAAAAAACGTTTTCAGCAGTGACTTGTGTCTCTGCGCTGGGTCACTTCTTAGTGTGAACCTTCATCACAGCCTTGCCAGCTGGCCTCTTCAACACATTGCTCTTGGCAGCTGGCTTTGGTGCAGGTTCCGGCTCAGGTTCATTGGACTTGGCCATCATCGTGGTGATCTTTGTGTTGCTGCTCTTGACTTGCTTCTCCATGTACGAGAGATAGGTTGCCGAGATGTCAAGCTCAGTGTGCAGCCTCATGTTCGTCAAATGATGTCGCATTTTGCCCCACAATGCTGCCATGGTCTGGTCGTCCTTGATCTGCCCACTGCCAGCCCTCAGTCAAACGAGTTGGGCAATGATATGAAACGAAAAACCAGGGGAAAAGAAAGAAACATGACAGCATGGACTGGGGCGTTCGTTCAACAGTCAAATCAAAAGCCATACCCCCATGGTTGACAATGCCAAGCTTTCCTGTTGATACATGAAAGATAACACAACAGTAAATCAATTGCTGCTGGAAAACAAACTGCCACTGAACGTGTATGTGAAGGTGTAGTTCATTTCTCCACCGACTGGTGAGGTCAAGTCCACAGTGATCAATGGACCCCTCACAGGCTTGGCCAGCATCACCTCCCGGGTCTTCTCTCTGATGGCCACGATGCCCTGAGCAGTTGTCTCTTCCAATCTGAATTTGAACGCCGACATTGGGGCCAACGTCACAAAGAACCTGTGACCCAGTTGCTCATTTCCTTGGAAACAAGACAGAACGCGTTCGTTGGCCTCAATCCCAAGCTTGGACCACCCGCTTGATACCGAGAACGCTTGTGTGAGGTCCCCAGGGCGCCTGGCCATGATCTTGTACTGCATCTTGGAGTCGGCCATGTCGGCAGCTGAAGCTTACGTGGCCAGAAGTCACGAATGATCTTTGAGTTCAAACCGGATGCTACAGCAAGCGAGCCAACTCATGTGATGGCCCTGCATGCAAACTCATGCGAGTCTAAGTGACCCTGCTCTATAGGTTTGACTATAGTCAGCATGCATCTGGCTTATGTAATGTGATCTTCATCAACTTGGATTGAAGATAAGCAGCTGTGCAACATCAAGTATCTTCCAAGGCCATGCAATGGCAAACTCTGCAGAAACACCATGGTCTGCATTGAACTCATGACGGCCATTCTATCTCAGGGCTAAACCCAGCTCGAAAACAGTGCAGGGCCATGCTCACGCTCGCACCTGATGGCCTAAGAGCGGGTTGCACCGTTTATTCATATTCTATACAATGTGTTCAAAGAAGTTGAAAACGGTTTCTTCTTTGTCGAAGCATCACTTCTAGAGCAACTGGGGTGAACCGATGTCCAGTTGGAAACACTTCTTCACGATTTCAAGATTCTGTCCAACCAACCAATGTGCGCGTGTGTTCTTTCCAACATGTATATGTAGGTAGAATACTCATATGTGTGAGCTCACAATGTGAAGTGCGCAGTATATCATCACAACTACATCACCAGAACCAAAACGACATCAATATATCGAACCCGCAGCAGCACGGTGCCAGCTATACCAACTCAATGGTAGGTTTCGGTTTCGAGTTGGACCGCAACGTATTGATGTGAAGCCATCAGACAACGGAAGCCTGGGCTCCCACTGCAATAAGACTTGATTCCAAACCTCAGCAGCCATCAAAGAGGGTGTGCATGCATGGTCCATGCATTGGGTTGACACGCAGTGGGGAGGTCATGGGCGCAGGGCCAATCAAGATTGATATGGAAAATGAAAACACCTGAGTTAGCCATAAGATTTGACACTTGTTCCAACTGGAATTTTACTCAGAATCGAACCTGTCTATGTGAAATGGCCTTGGCAACATTCTCTACAGTACCCAATGAACTGCCGCATCAGCATTTTTTAGACTCCTGTTCAGGGTCATCGGAGGGCTGTACGCATGCAGTGGAGCTGAATCGGCCAGAGCAGCCAGCAGGTCCCAGCAAATTTTCATCAGAAAAAAATGAAATTCTGTAGGTTTTGAAGGACTGTTTCTGGCTTGCGAGGCCCCCAATCGCACAAATTGGCAAAATCCCAAAATTTGCATTTTTATCGTGGCGATAAAAATTGGTTCTGCCAAAATCCAATTTTTTATCGTGGCGATAAAAATTGGTTCTGCCAAAATCCAGTTTTTTATCGTGGCGATAAAAATTGGTTCTGCCAAAATCAAGTTTTTTATCGTGGCGATAAAAATTTGGTCTTCCAGGTTCATTTTTTTATCGTGGCGATAAAAAACCAATTCCCAACATATCAAATTTTTATCGCCACGATAAAAAACTGAATTTCCATATTTTTGATTTTTATCGTGGCGATAAAAACCAACATCCTTATCAATCTACATTTTTCATTCCAAGTTGTATTCAACACAGTTTGGTGACAAGATTTTTGTGATATTTTCCCAAAATATATAGTCATACAACTGACACTGCTTCGATCTGATGGCCTCTCTGTGCCGCAAACTGCATGGATATTAATTACTACTTGCAAAAGGCGAATGGGTCCACCGGTCACCACCAAGTTGTCCCTGCAGGCAACTGAAGGTTGTGACACAAGTCTCCGGGGGTTTGGGACAATGTTCAAGATTTCCTCAAAACTACAATGTAAAGTTGCCATAATTTTACTTTAATGTGGTGGTCACCAGAAAACCCTAAGCAGTGAGTCATCATGCCACCGGTTGGAGGTAACCCAATCTACTTCGAAGAGTGAAGAATGTTCCAACCACAACCATTGAGGTTCATTACACTTGATTGGGCAACGACATACATTCTGAATAGGTTTGAATCTGATGATGTAATCTGCCATCTACAGTATAGATACAGTATAGGTTTCAACACTATGTTTAAGCCATTCGCACATGCTTTACCCTTCTACTCACATTGGGGTACCTCCTTACTCTTTGAAAACCAACGAAATTAAGAATGATGAATTGTTGTATAAGTATATATATAATACAGCTATCTAACCGGTGACATCCTACTGCAACTTTCGCTACCGGTAGGCGTATGCCAAAGGCTGCACTAAATGGTGCTAGTTGCTACAGCAGGGTGACAGAAATTGCACCCATCATGATTGAGATTCCATCTTATCTAATCGTGTATATATATATATGTATATATATATGTATATATATATGTGTATATATATATGTATATATATATGTATATATATATATTGCAAGTAGTGTCAACTGTAGATTCAAAGAGTTTCGGTATTGAGTTTTCATACAGCCAATCATGATGAATGCTCGCCATGCCCATGCAAAAATGGAAGACCATTTCTGTAGTTTCAGTGGCAACATGGTTTCATGGCAAGTGCCCCATTTAAAGAGCTGAGGTTTCAGTTAGTGGCGCATGCCCCATTAGTGGATTAATGGTTGAATCCCTTTTTTTGGTTTCCTATCTCATTTGTTCTGGCCTTCCACCACTGATCTCGCCACGGACGCGAGATCTTGGACAGCATGCATAGCCATGGACCAGGCATTGCTGTCCCAGCCGTGCTTGCCCTGCTTGCCCTTGCCCCAGGTACTTCCTTTCCCTGGTGTGCGCTTGCGGGTGCGCCCTTGGCCATACCTGAAGTGCACGGAATGGAGCAGGGCACATGAATGCTCGCATGGACGCAGGGCCCCAAATCTAGTGGCTCGCAATAGTGTGAATCAATGATACCATACACAATGGATTGAACATTTGTTTGAATTTCAATTCCCTTGACACCCACTGAAATCACAGTCAAGTTGCGGGAAGAACTGCCCGTTCACGGCTCTGTAGCCACCGTGGCAATACTCACCACCCCAGTCGTCGAATTTGCCTTTGCCCTGGCCCTTCGAGCCAGTCGAGCCAGAGCCTTTGGCGTTGGCGCCGTATCTGGCCCACCACGGCTTTCTGCCGCCACCACCACCGCCCTTCTTGCCTCCCTTCTTCGTTTTGCCCTTCCCAGGGCGTCCCTTCGCCTTTCCACCGGCTTGGTCAGAGCCCTCAGCATCATCAGCCGGCTCCTGCCCATCATCATTCTCCTCATCATCCTTCTCCTCATCATCCTCCTCCTGATCATCCTCCTCCCGATCACCTTCCTCCCGATCACCCTCCTCCTCTTCCTTTGCATCGTCGTGCTCCTCGGGCTGCGCATCGCCCTCATCCTGCTCCTCCTCATGGACCTCCACATCAGTGGCCCCAGGCAGCTCCCAGTGCTCTGTGCCCCGCTCGCCATACTCCAGCTCCTCCGCCTTCGCAGGCTCCAGCAGTCTGAAGGCTGTGCCTGGCGCCTCGCACTCATCAGCTGCTGCAGCCTTTTGCTGTCTCACCTCCTCGGCCTTGAGCAGCATGTTGGTTTTCGCTCTGGTATTTCGCAGCTCCCTTTCTTCGAGGATGCTCTGGGCTCCCTTCTCCTTTGGCCACCTTTTCTGGACCAACCCTGTGCGGCTTCCCCCAGCTGCTGCCTTTGTGCTCGGCTTTGAGCTCGGCGCCGAGCTGCTCATGGCTCCGATGGGCAATCCTGCAAAGGTTGAGCAGTGATGTTGTAAATCTTGCAACATTGTTATAACCTTGGTTGCAAATGTTTTGGTATATGTATGTATATGTGTTGAACTTGAATGAGAAGCTGTCAGTGGTCCGATATGGAAAACTGTGCAAGTCTGGTGAATTCCCAGTGCGCCGGGGTGAAACGGGTGAAAGTTTGCTGTTGCTGTGCCGCTGCTGTGATTGAAACAAATTGGTTTTCGCTGATGCCCAAAATGCGCAATAGCTGTTGTGTTGATACTTAAAATGTTTGGCATAACCAGTTCTCTAATGTTTAAAAAGGAAACTGCACTGCAACACTGCAATGATGTGCCAATCGGCATGCTGTGGGTGATGACTATGCCAATGCCTATCGGCATGCTGTGGTTAAATTAACGGTTGACATGTCAAAATTCATCCCGTCTTGAACCGCGGCGTAGAACGGATGGAACGAGTTGTTTCATGGAAGATTCAGAACATGAAAAGATTCATGCCAATCTTCGAAAAAAATGCACTTCAAACTCTGCGTGTGTTTGCATGGATTGTTTGTGCATGGTTTGACATGTTTTTTCACCCAAGAAGTGCTAGTTCAAAAACCAATGGCTTCAATTTCATTTGAACATGACTGTGTTTCTGTTTTGGACATTAGTCTCAATCCTGAGCAAGTCCATTGGGTTCCCAGACTATAGCACTCCGCCAATGGGCATGGGTCTTGGTGCAGGCCTAGAGCGGTGCAGTGAGGTCGCAAAAACTATGGATGCCTGTGGATAAAGATTTGAATTGTCAGTGGGACGGTTGGCCCTTCATATAGCGTTCACAGTGGCTCCACTGATTTTCCAAAAGAAGGTGATCATGAAACATGTTTGCAAGCATGTTGAATTCTGATTCAAACTGTTTTGGCATTCGTTTCACAAACAAAAACTCTTTTGCGCCATCACAAATGAAATGCAAAATGCGACCATCCCAGCATAGCGAAAATTTCACAAGTACCAGTTCATAGTTACACATGGTCACTCGATACTACATTACATCGCTAAGCTCAGCCCTCAGAGTGCTCGTCATCGAAGCGCTGACGATCAGGCGGCACGGCCTCCAGCTGGGACTCGTCAAGATCTGTGGAGTTCACCTCATCGGCCTCATTTCCATAGGGAATGGTGTCCGGGAATGTGTCGGCATCATTGATCTGGTCATCGGGTTTGCTCTTGGCTTTCGATTTGGCCGCAGTCATTTTGGCTGGGCTAGAGCCACCGATGTGGCCTATACGCTTCAGGCGTTTTCTTGGCGACTTCTTTGGGGATCCTTTCTTCTCCTTCTTCTTTCTGGGTTGTTGATGTCCTGCCCCATGCTGGACCAACGCTTTCATATAGTGTAGGTTAGGTTCATTGAGCTCTAACCATAGCTCCTTTGACGTGACACCCCAAAGTGCCTTGGCTGGCCTAGACATAAAGTACTCCGTCTTGGTTTCAAGATCAGGAAGCTGGATTGTCACACGAGGGTCCACCAAGCACCCGTCCTCCACTCGGACACGTTTGGCCTTGCGCTTGGGCACTGCAGATGCGGTGTCCCCTCCAGATTCCGGCATCTCCATCTGCTGCCGAGCACTTTCCTCACTGGCTCTCTTGCGGAGCTCCAGGAGCTTGTCGAACAGGGCGCTGTTGGCACTGCGGCCGACCCCCTTGCTCAGGTCCATCGGCTTCTGCAAGCAGAACTTCACGAAGTGCCTGTCGAACTTGCTCAGCTTGATGAAGTTGTCACCACTCCGAGTGACCACATCTGGATACCACGTGTCCATCTTGTGGACAATCGCCCAATGGGATTCGAGCTTGAAACCAGGGCCGGTGTCCAGCTCAGCATCCGATGGAGGTGCCGCTGCTGGGGCTGCCTCTGATGGAGCTGCCTCTGCCATGGAGTTCAGGAAACAAGCGAGCCAGTGCTGGCCCTGCAAAGTATGCGAGCTTGATCAGAAGCCCTGCCAGAATAAGTGTTTTGAACCATGAGCCATGCAACCGTGCACCAACTGATGGTTTGAATCTTATGCAATGATGGTTTGAATCTGACATCATGCAATGATGGATTGAATCTGACACCATGCAACGGTGGTTCGGATCTGACATCATTCAATGATGGCGTGAGTCCGACAGCATGCACTGATGGATTGAATGTCACAGTGTGTCCATCGTGCATGGATTCTCTTCTCAAAACTCTGGGGTGCCCCTGCGGCAGACACTGCACTTCCCTGACAAGGATTCACAAAATGATTCTTGGAAAATGGTGTTCAAATCTTTGTTGAATAAAACGATATGACATGATTTCGCACTAGTGCCAGTGACATGTCAATGCAGGGCCACATGCGCTCGCCCACAAATATGAAACCGATCGCAGGGCAACAACCATGTGGTATTCATCATGTTGCTCGCTAACACAATAAACGTGAGTGCAGTGAGGTCCTCACTTATTTTCACCCAAACAAAACTAGCCATGTTGCCTTGACATGAGCTCACGGTGCCGGAGCCTTGGTCCTCTGGCGCTTCGGCTGAGGGACTGGCACCAGAGCTTCAGGGTCCTCCTTCTGAGGCTTGGGAACAAACAACTTGAGCTCAGTGGATGCATCCAAGGCAGAGATGTTGTACATCAGAGGAATCTTCACGCTGTTGTTCTCCTGGTCCTCTGCGATCTCCTTGCGAACCTCCACATTTGCCTCAGACTCTTTGTTGGTTCGCTTGACCATCCAAAAGGGGCACAAGAACGATCCATCAAGATCACCATCACGCTTTGGAGGTCCATAGCATGGCCACAAGTACAATCCGATGTCTCGGATGGACCCCAAGGCCACAGAGCCAGGACAGGCCTTCCTTTCAATCCTCGAAGTGCTGGGGACCAAAATCAGCTTGCCCTTTGCATACTGTTTGGCCGTGAAGACACTCTTGTAAGGCTTTGTCTGCAAGACCAGGCCTTTGTACGATGCCTCATGCTGCATTTCAAGTTCAATCATCCTGCGACTGACCTCCCCCTTGACACACATGAAGTTGATGGTGTCGCTTGAGCAGGGTCGGAACTGATGAAAGTTGTCCCAGCTGTACTTTTGAATATCGGCTTTTTGTTTGGTGACCCTCCACTCACCCTTGAGGAATGATTCAATTTTGATTTCATAGCTAGTGCAAAAATCACCTTCGTCAACGCTGAGTTGCACCAGTGAGCCTTGCATGCTCGTGATGGTGGCTCGGCAGTCGCCACGAATCACATTGGCTCCTACTGGCATGGGTTCTTCAAATTGCCTGCTTCATCGTATTCCAACTGCCTCGGCAGTTAGAGAAAAACAAACTTGAAGAAAGAAAATGGGAAGGTGGCATGAATCGTTGAAAATCCAAATGCTAAAATCAAAAACAACGTGATCAAATATAAACAACTTGAATCAATGAATCCAAATTGCACTGAGTGCCCAGATGAGCTTGCAGAAACCACGGCCTGCAACTTGGAGTTGGCAGTGTTCTGGCCATCGAACTCAGCCGTGATTCGCTTCTTTAGGTGCTTCTCGATCTCATCCACCAATGAGCAAGCCAAAGACTCGGGGGTCTCATCTTTCATCTTGTCCAAGCATTCCAGAATCAAGTGATCTTGGAACTGATGAAACAAATCTTGAATGGCTGAGCTGGAATCTCCAAGCTTCTCCTTGTCGAGCAGTGCTCGAAACTTGACCATCAAGTCTTGAGCTTTGGTACTGCGTTGGCCCAGCTCTTTTCCCAAGAGTTTCTTGACATCCAATGCATTCAAACTCTTCTCAGCAGTGTAGGCCAACGAAAGCACGGCGTGGCGCAAGTGCAAGAACTGCTGCTTCCAGTCTTTCGACTGGGCGCTGAGCTGCACAAAAAAGTCTTTGCCCAAACTCTTGTTTGTGCTGGTGTGCCCCTTGATCCTCGTGTCAATGCCTTCCATCAAACCTTCATGGGAAAAATTCTTCAAGAAGGTGAACATGTAAGGCGTTGCCTCATGGCACTGCGGTTTGGTCTGGAGCACCTGCTTCTTCACCTGGTTCCACTCAGCATGAGGCTGGGTCCTCATGAGTGACCTCATTCTGGCAAGGATCTGCCATTCACTTCCCCCTTTGGCAATGTGACTGGACACATTGCAGGCGCTCTGGACGAGCTGAGCGATTTGTGGAGCAAAACTCATCACATCTCGGTGGATTACAGTCCACTCCAAGCCTGCATGGCAGGCATCGAACAGTGCCTTGTCAACGGACTGGATCTTGGACATGCTGATGCGACCGTTCAGTGAAACTAGCCCCTCCTCAGAAGCAACTTCGTGCAGCGCGCATCGAAGAGCAGCATTTGTGTGAGAGCAACTCAGTGATGCATACCGCATCATGGTTTCGTTGATGGCAGGAAGGAGCCCACCAGAAGATTCCACCAGCTTTCTGTTGAAGTCCACCATGGTGTCACCGGGCTGCAGCTCTGTGCACACCGGGTGGGTCTGAGACCCATCAAACCCCACCGAAGCGATCATGCTTAGGAGGGTATGGGCGTCCTTCGGACACAGGCCAAATCCGTCCCGGTTTTGGCTATGCACACCGATCTCGTCGGGCTTGAGCCGCACAACGCGGCTGAGACCATTTTTTGCCAAGGTCTCCATGAGTCGGCTAGATGCTTGGACTAGTTGCCCGCCATCTTCTGCGTGCTTCAGGCACTCAGTGATGGCATCCTGAACATCTTGACTCAGAGCCATGCTTTCACCAGTGAGGCGCGGCAAACTTTGTCTTTGATCCAAGACTTGGCAGTATAGCGAGATCTCATGGTCCCTGCACTGCCTTTACTGAGGCGAGCATTCTATGATGCCCTGCAGAAATGTTATTCAAATCAAGCGCTTCGACAAACATAAAAAATCACATAGGTTCCTGAATCCAAACTGTTTTCTTGCATTGTGGCAAAATGTAACATGAGCTGACCAAACCATGCAAGCAGCGCGCATCCACGTGTCAAACATGATCCTTTTACGAAATGTTTGTGCAAAAACAGGAGCTGACAAACACAAACAGAGACATGAGTTTCACATCGCAACGTCCCGCACTTGGCTGATCTGCCCAGCCTCGTTCTCGAGAATGTGTGAAGCCAGCTTGGCTCCCAAAAAAAATCAGCTGCGGTGTTTCTGCATGGTCAAGCAGGTGACGGTTTGGCAACCCAAACATGATGGTGTAACTAAAACGGACACAAACCTCTAGCGTTCCAATCATTAATAGCGCTGTTTGTTCAAAAAAATACGTTGTTGTTTTGTTTGTAAAAAATGTTTCAGTCCATTGGTTACAAAAAAATCAGCGAACCGTTTCTTTTTTGGCATTCAAAAAATACATCCTTGCACAGTGATGTTGTTTCTTGAGCCTGTATGGAAACATTATACGGGCCAATGCTTCAACACGACCCTGCAACTGCACATCTCACCAACTCAACTCAATCGAGCTCTTCGCGGAAAATTGAATCCAAAAAAACGCGTGGAAATAGCAGATCCTGAAGCAAGTTTGTGCGGCAAAACCAATGCCACGCCACAAAAATAAAGCGACCTCACAGCCCAGCTGGCTCCAAAAACCATGGTGAAAATCCAGAAATAGCCTACTTATAACCATGGTTATGCGTGGTTATAAGTGGGCTAAGTAGGTTAGCTAAGTAGGTTAATCATGATTATGTTACTTATCTAAGTATGGTAATTAAGTTATATTTTTTCAAGATCTACTTATCCCAATTAGTAAGTAAAATTAGTTTTTTATCCCAATTAGTAAAAAAAATAATCGGTAATAATAATTACTAAGTAAGATAAACAAATTATAGAGATTGTTGGAATTATAACTTCGATAACCATAGGTTATCGAAGTTATAACCAGAGATATCGAACTTATAACCATGGTTATAAACTTGCTAAGTAGGATAAAAAATTATAAGTACCTACGGTCATCCAAGACCTACACCGCCTCCGTTTTCCCAGACACCTCCCAACAATGCCAATTTTGCACCTCAACGTCATCCTTTTACACCGAGATCGCCGAGGCCTATGTCATCCCCGGGAGCAAGTTCTACTGTCAACGAAGGGTATACATGCCGACCAATTGAAATCCCACCAGTGGAGCAATGGAAACCTGATGTCGACTTCCACGACTCCAACAAGATCAATGGTTTGGATTTCCCCTCCAGAATCCGACAGAGCCGGTTTTCAAGCTACAAAGACATTGAAGGTATGGATCCTTTACAAGTCCCACTCTGGAAGTTCTTGTACCAGGGCTTACACAACACCTGGCTCCGTCGTGTTGCATACGGAAGAGAAACCTTCGTCCTTCCTTTTGACAACATAGGCACTACAGTATTTGTGGCTGAATTGGTATCACAACTACGCACCCGCAATGTGGATTTGGACAAACTTGCTACCTTTCGAGCTCGCTCAGCAGGCCAATGTCTCAATCAAAAGGAAGCCACTCAAAATATGGCCAAAGACGTCGCTCAACTTCTCCAATCTTGGCTCCCGGCTCAACCCTCCGCGGACGTGGCGAGCCAACAACGCATTCTTGAACTGGAAGCTGAACTGGCCAAGGTAAAATCGGCCGCCAGTACTTCACAGACTACGGCACCTCAGGGGTCTACACCAGCCACGACACCGATTGGACGTGCACTTCAAGGACAACCTGCAGCTTCTACGACCTTTGACCCTTCGGCTCTACTTATTTCTCCGGGATCCGTGAACTCTTGGCTCGTTGACAATCAACCCTCATCATTGACGGATACCCAATACAAGAAGTGGTTGAAAGACCTGAAGTTACCACAGCCCAAGCAGGACATCCTGGAGAAGAACTTGGAGAAGGTCAACGAATGGTGGCAAAACCAACCTGATGATGCCTCCAAAACTATCCAACGCGCAAGCGTGGCTATGGGCATCGACCCCTGCAAGCATAAAGGGGCCACTACGGATGAAGTCGTCCTCAAGGTCATGACTGTGGCGTTATTGATGCACTCCTGACTAGCAGCGTATTTGAAATCACCGGGCTCAAAAGCAGCCAACATTATGCGAACTTTGGCCGTGGCTCATTCCTGTATTCTTGTCCTTGCACTATTGACCCCCTTCACGTTGTCCCCTTCTGTTGATGTCTTTTTTGCTTTTCGGATGCTTCAAACTGTACTGATGGGCCAATATGTGTTATTACATCCACGAGCCAATCCGAAACTCCAGGCCTTGCTCAAAGGCACTCCGATGCAGAGTATTTTCTTTTGCAGGTCGTGGGATGACTTGTCAGTCGCCCTCCAATGTTTCAAGCACCCTCAGGCGGTGTATATTCGCTTTTGCCACATTGCTAATTTTCAACCTAAGTTTTATGTCGGTTCCACTTCTTCCTTTGTTTTGGACCGTGAACACTCTCGCTATCGGAAATTTCTGCAAGTGCAACAAAACAAATTCGTGTTGGCCGAAGTTGCCTTACGGTTTTGGTGCAGATTTGACAATTTCTGGATGTGGTCTGTTTTTCCGATCTACACCAATAAATCCAACTTTTGGGCTTTGGAACAAGCCTTAATTCAATTGTGGCAACCTCGATTAAACACTCCGTTCATTTACCAGTTTTTCAATTGCCGAAAGGGACTCATTGCGCGTACGAAATTTTCCGACTCCCGGCAATTTGGAGCATTCTCTTTGTGGCGGAAACTCCGCTGGCGATCTACACCCCATCATGTTCGACATGCTCTTCATAGTCCTCTTTTCCATCGACGGGTACAACTCTGGGAGATCATTCAGGATTTGGGCAGTAACTCCGTTCCGTCCGACGCTTCCACATGGAGAAGAAGCTTCGATCCAATGAAATAGGGGCCCAAGGATGCTATTTTATTCGACGTCTTGCCAACAACCTAGGCGAACCTCAGAGGTCGTACGCAATCAATGCCATTGACCGAGCCTTGACCTTCTGGAAGGCCAAACGAGTCAGAAAACCGGTTCCTCTTCGTGCACCTTGGTTACTAGGCCCCAACTGGACCCGTGACCTTCGACAGCTGCTCACTTCCCACGTTCATCGAACTCGATGCTACAACACCACTTTGCAGACTCCTTCCACCGGGATTGTCTTCACAAAGTTCCCCTCGGTTATGGACAGCTTGTGCAACCACAAAGAAGCCGCTACCAAATGGGCTGATGGCGAAACCCCACGGTGTGCCTGTGACGCCTTACGACCTCATGTTCTTCATCATCCCCATCCTGATCACCACTTGGTCCTGGACGGCGACAACCTACATTTCGATGACGGCCCACACACATCCATTGCGACGGGTTCGCTTCAAAACAAAATCTTCCCACCTTCCAAAGAAATCCAGACATCCCTTCGCCTTGCTCTGCGGACGTGGACTACCCGGAACTCACTCCCTTCATTACAAAAGACCCATATTGATGAACTTTGGCACCGCTCTATTCAATCCCACTACAACACCCTCCACAATCACATCACACACAAAGATATCGGACGCTTCAAACGTCTTTTTCCAGAAGCAATCTTCCACAACGAGGACAAGCGAGCTACATCCCTACGAATCTACTGCCCCGTACTCTATTTCCAGTGCCTCACCACCACCTTCGCCGACCCGTTGGTATTTCGAAAATTGGAGAACAGCCCAAATGACATCATCGAGAAGACCATCGCCGAGATCAACCATCAATTTGGCAAAGCATACCCATGGGCACTTGGTGCTGGACGAGACCTACCAAATGCCTACGTTCTACCCAAGCGGAAGAAACAGTTTAAGGCTGGGCGACCCATTGTCAGCTTCTTCACGGCACCTTTCCGACCCATGTTGAACTGCACCGCCAAACTGATCTACAACCTCCTGCCCCAAGCTTTCCCCCACAACCTGGCAAAGGGTGATGTATTTGATCTCATCAAGCTCCTCAAGGACACCGACTTTGATTCGCTTCCTACTCCCCGCATACACAACCAAGATCTTGCGGGCTTTTTCACAAGCATCGACACTGACCGCTTCATTGCTAGCTGGCGACTGACCTTGCAGTTCCTCTCGACGCTCATGAGTACCGACCCCGACGAGATCATCTCCGTGAAGGCAACTCCGGGCAACACCACAGGCGATGTAGTCAAAGGCCGCACGTGCCGTACACTTAATGTGACCAGGAAGATCTTCATTCGGGACATTGAACGCATCATCCTTATGTCTTTGAAGATGACCCAATTTTCCATTGGCACTACTGTTTTTGAACAAATCCGTGGATCCCCTATGGGCTCCCCACTGAGTCCAGCATTGTGCATGATGGTTGTCGCACTCTCTGAAGAAATCTGGTACCGAACCAACCGCACCACCCTCAGCACCATGGATCTTACAGCTCGCCTCCTTCGCTATGTTGACAACAGACTGTGCTTGTCGGATCCCTCCTGGGACTACGAAATCTGCTTCGCCAATTTCCTTCACGGAGTTCTACGGTCACCCCATCATTTTGGAAACGGAGCCGGACCAGGAGTTCTTGGGCTTTTGCATCGAGTTCGAGCCCTTTGCCCTTCGCTACAGCCCTCCGCGCGACTTCAACCAGGTCATGGCGCCATTCTCTGCATCACCTCTTGCCGTCCAACTTTCGGGTTTTGTTTCACGACTCTTTCTGGTCGCCAAATGTGCGCACCCTACACACGAACGATCGCGAGGTTTTGCCGCATTGCACCGTTTGTACAGAGCTGCAGGTTTTCCCGAGTCCGATTTAGCTGCTGC